ACCGGGCGCCGCGCAGCAGCGTCGCCCCGCGCCGCGCCGCTCGCTCCTCCTCATCGTCCTCCCGCAGTCCAGGGGCCGCCGCCGTCGCCGTCTAGCCAGGAGCTCCGGCGACGCTCTTCTCTGCGGCCCCACTTCCGGCCCGCGCCCGGGTGTCGCCCGCAAACGTCCCCGCCGGCTCCCACATCACCTGAGCGCCGTCCTCCACCCGGGGTGGGGGGGGGGGGGAGAAGGGGGCCGAAACTGAGCTTCTTTTAGACTCAGCCCAGCAGCTCTCCACACGGGGGGGGGGGGGGGGGGAGGCGGAGAAAGAGAGAGCGAGCCCGGCCTCCGGGCATGCGCAGAAGCCACGTGACGAAGGGGCGCGCGACGGCGGCCGGGATGGACAAGATACCCCGGCGCGGAGAGCGGGGCACTTCTGCGGCTACATCGAGTCCCTCTTTCCTTCCTCGGAGCTCCGGGAGACGTTTTAAACCCCATGCCCCAGGCTTCTGGGTTGAGAGGGGGCTGGGATGGAGCCGGGCTGGGAGGACTGGAGCCGGTAACTGAGCACACAAGTGCTTAGTTTCTGCAGAACCGATTGTGTCTGTCTTGCGGGGTTGTCAGGGGTGTTTAAAGTTCCAGAATTCAAAGCGTTGCCCTATTTTCCTTTTTTAACCTCTGTCAGAGTGAACCTTCAAGGACAGAGGCAGGCCTGAATCCTGCGCAACTTTTTGATGAAAAAAGAACTCAAAATTGTTTTTTCCTTTTATTTTTCCTTCCTTCCTTCCTTCCTTCCTTCCTTCCTTCCTTCCTTCCTTCCTTCTTTCCTTCCTTCCTTCCTTCCTTCCTTCCTTCCTTCCTTCCTTCCTTCCTTCCTTCCTTCGTCCAAATTTTACAAAAGCACGAGAACATGGGAACAAGTTAGACTGCAGCCTGGGAACCTCACACTTCGTTGGCTTTCCTATCAAACTCGCTTTGCACTGACAGTTGACTACAGATGTTTGCGTTCCCTTCTCCATTCTATGTGTCCAAGTTTATATATACAGAAGACCGTTCATAAGTTTTTGTTGTTTGTTGGTTAGTGTATTCACAATGTATCCTGGTCTCCCATTTTCACCACCTGGTAATTGCCAAGCACTAAAGCATACCGTTTACAAAAAAAAAAATAAACGAATAATACAACAAATAGAAAGGTCATTAGAGAAAAACCTTGGTTCTCGAATTTGACCCAAATAGATAAAATAAATTGGAGATTAGGCTTGGAGTTTGTCTAGCTTCATAATCTATGGCTGTTTGCCTCAGTGATACAGGTCTCAGCATTGTAGGAGCTCAGTGGAGGTCGGGAAAGACACAAATGCACAATAATAAGTAAACAGAGGAAGAATTGGGGCATTGGAGAGAGGTGCGCATGATAAAGTAGTCCCAGTGCCAGTCTGGCTTGGCTGATCACCTTCAGTTCAGGTTCGGAGGGGTAGCAAGGTGAGGGGTAGCAGGGAAGTGGTTATCACCGTCATCACTGTAGGGGAACAGCTGGATCTCATGATCTTATCTTCCTTTAGGGGGCAGGAGGGTGTGAGGGGAAATTGTTCCTTCCTTTGGAGACAGTTTTCCTGGTGGTGATAGTCTCAGTCCCTTGTCTAAAAGATCATCAGTGTTGCCCTTCCTGGAACCTTTCAGTTGGCAAGAAAGATTCCAAATAAAGTACAGGTGTAACATGGAGACTGAGGCGCCAAGCTTCTGCTTTCAGTTCATTCGTAGCCCCAATAACAGGCTTAATTAAGTTTCCGCGTCCTTCCTGGGTCCTCCCTGACCACGCCCCTGGTCAAGCCACGCCCCTATCCTCAGAGGCCTGCTCACCTCGACGGTGACGTCACGACTCGGGGCCTCAGTGCGCACGCGCTGACAGCAGCTGGCGGAACCGGCTTCTTGCAGAGGCAGCTTCCGGTCTGGTAGCGGCCGAGGCGGTACCTGCGTGAGGTTGGTGCGGCGGGCGCTGGTGGGGCTGGGGGGGCCTCGGCGGGGCTCTGCGCGGGAGTGGCCGGGACTCTTCGCGCTCACCTAGCGGGGCGGCGTGCGTGTCCCGTCTCCTCAGTCAGCAGGACCCGGCCTCAGACCCGCAGCGTCCTAGGTCTTGACCGGGCACCTCCCACCCGGCCGCTGCCCACCTGGGGAGAGCGGGTCCCGGGGCTGAGGGGGCCGGGGGCTGTGAGGATCGGGGGCTGTGGGGGGACCGGGGCCGGGGGCTGTGGGGACCGGGGCTGTGGGGATCGGGGGCTGTGGGGACCGGGGGCTGTGGGGACCGGGGGCTGTGGGGATCGGGGACTGTGGGGACCGGGGACTGTGGGGACCGGGGGCTGTGGGGGGATCCGGGCCGGGGGCCGGGGGGACCGGGGGCTGTGGGGATCGGGGGCTGTGGGGGGACCGGGGCCGGGGGCTGTGGGGGTCAAGGGCCCGGAGGCTGTGCAGACAAGGGATGGGCTTTGCGGGTGACACCGCCGCCCCAGGCCAGGCCCCGCGTCCAGCTGGCGTCCAGGCCACGCTGAGGCTCCTGCAGGTCCTGGGAACCGACAGGCTGCTCTGGGTCCTGCGGACACCTGGACCCCAGGTCACAAAGGGGGCCCCGTGGGGCTGGGAGTCGTCCCTGGATGGGGAGGAGGGTTTGGGATGACTTTGCTGGGGCCCCGGTGCTGCCGGAATGGAAAGGAGGACAGGTTTGGGGGGAATTGCCTTCTTGCTCCTCTTGCATTTGGTGTTTCATTAACTTTCTGCCCCCACGTTCCCCCAGCTGCTGCTTCCTTTCCACGGACTCCCGGTAGGACTGTGGGGACTGTGGACGCCCAGGGCCCCCTCCAATCCCCACCCTCTCTCTCAGAGACAGTCTGTCGGGATTGCTAGAGAGGAATTTTATTTGTACCGTCACTTTCTTTTAGTCTGATATAATAGCGCTCAATCACCTTCAGCCTTCACTAAGTAAAACCTGTTGCTTTGTTTGTTGTGGCTATTGGTAGCAGCCACATGGGGGAGTCATTATTGTGTGCTGTCTTTTTTTCTTGAATGCTCTGTCATATCAGTGCTAAAATGTGGCGCATTTTCTTCTCTATCCCCCACTCCTTATTGCTGAGTGTGTTGTCAGTAGTGGATGTTAAATGTTGCTTGGATCAGCAGGTGATGAAGAAACAAAAGTATCACAGATCCAGTAGTGCCTCCAGAAGTAGCTTTTGCAGAGTTTACATTTGAACTTAGGTTTTTTTAGACTGTAGCCTAAACTCTTACAAACTTCTTTTGTCCTAATAAAAATGGAAAGCATCACCTAAATACCCTCACATGTAAAATACAATGGCAGTTCTGATACTTGTTCATTCCGTTTAAACAAGCAGAAATTTTTATGTCTGTTCATTTTACAGTAATTTTGTAGTCCTGTTATCACATATAGTCATTTTAGTTTCTGTGGATATCTAAGCCATTACATAAGTTTCACTATAATTATTAAGTAATTTGTTTTAATGGGATTTGTGAAGAGGACATTTTGGGACCTATAGAATCTGCACATGAATCTGTAAAAAGTATAGACTCGTACTTAAACATCCAGAAAAGTATTTCTTAATATCATATTACCTCCTTTATGCATGAGCTGTAAATGTAGATTATATCATGATGAACCCACTTAAGGGAACCAGGTGGTGGTGTCCGTTACACAAACCAAATTCAGCAAGGGGAAGCAGTTACTGTAATCGTAGATAAAAGTCTTAAGAGTCCCAGGTGGCTTTATGTCTTGATCTAACCCAGTCAGTAGAAACTTGTGTTTCCTTTATCAGAAATTAGATTGAAAAGGTTTTGTTTTTTTTTCTCTAGCCACCAAATGGCTGTTGTGAGCCACTGCCAATGCAGTCAGAACCTAACTTCCCCCAACAGCCATGTTGGTGTATGTTTAACCTGCCCATGACCTTTTATGATGTGCTTTTTCCAGAACTCAGTTTCAGGTATTAGCAATTCATTCAGCAAAGAAACCTACTATGTATCCATTACTGGTCATAAAAATTATAGCATGATATCTGGCCACTAGAGATTGTATTTGTGTGTCTTATTTTTTTGCTGGAGTAAAGAATTGGCATACATGGACTCTCATGTTCTTTCCACCACAGTAGATTCCTGTACTCCTTAAGAAGCTATTTGGAATAAATGGAGCAGTGGTATTTTACACTATGGTAAAAATGAACTATACAACATGTACATGGGGAGGAGAGGGAAAAACTCAGAGAGAGCAAGGGAAAGGGGTGACATTGTTAAAAAAAATGCACTTATTACCTGACATGTAACCCCTCTGTGTATAACCTTTATAATAACAAAAAATTAAAACTAAAAAAAGGAGCTACTTAGTCTAGAGAACAGTGACTCAAACCTCTAGTAGCTGCTAAGGTAGTTGAGATAGGAGAGGATTGGACTGAAGTTCAAAGCCAGGCCAGGCAAAAAAGTTCAACAGATTTCCTTCTCAACCAAAAGCCAAAACTGGGTGTGATAGTACTTAAAGGGAGTATATTTGAAGAATTGTAGTCCAGGCATTTCCCAGAGTAAATGTGTGACCATTTGAAAAGTAACTAAAGCCAAATGTGTTGGGAATGGCTCTCAGTTGACAGATTGTCTGCATAGCAAGGTCAAGGCCTTTGATTCCATAAGCCATTCTCTCTAGCTGAGGAAGAATAAGTCTATTTGCTGGATAAAAAGTCTGTAATGTCTTTGGTTCTTATGGAGGGCATCAGACACCCCAGTGTGAGGACGGTATATGCTGGGGTACCAGCAGGTGTCTGAAGCCATAATATAAACCATCATTTTAATTTATTCCTCCATTTAACTTGATGTCATGTTTGGTAAAGTTTGTTTTAATGCTTTATAGTTGAAACCACATTGAAACAACTTGAGTATTATACATTTCAGTAGACCTTTCAAGGTCTACAAGTTTAAACGTTAAAGAAATTTCACATTTATTGCAACCACTTTAGGAAATAGTCTAGATAATACCTCAATAGTATATACATGAGTTATTCTGTGATTTGAAAAGAAATGAAAATGCTCTGTTTTAAGACATTTTTTGCTAAAGCACTCAGCATTTTATTATAGTTCTCATTGTATCCTTTTTTCTTTGCAGAATATATACTTTTTAGAAGCAGAAGCATCCCCTTTGCTGTAGTACCAGCCTGGCCAATAATCACTGAATACATGGAAATAAATGGCATGAAAATTTGAACAGAAAAAGTACATAAATGAATTCATATTTCCAAAACTGTAAGTAACTATGATAAAAATGCATAGGTAAGTGTGAGGAAGGCATTTGAAGTTGGGTTTTGAACACCAGTGTTTTGGCAACATTTGGAGTGAAGATGTGAATGTAGACATAGAATAAGCTTGTGTGGCTAGAAGAGGATTCCTGTTTACTCTTGATGAAGATTTCAGAATTTCTTTTTTTTTTTTTTTTGGGTCCGGTCGTGGGGCCTGAACTCTGGGCCTGGGTGCTGTCCCTCAGCTCTTCAGCTCAAGGCTAGCGCTCTACCCCTTGAGCCACAGCGCCACTTCCGGCTTTTTTCTTTTTGCTTATGTGGTGCTGAGGAATTGAACCCAGGGCCTCAGGCATGCAAGGCAAGCGCTCTACCACTGAGCCACCTTCCCAGCCCCAGATTTCAGAATTTCTAAGCAGGAGCCTAGAAATGAAAGGACTCATCTGATTTTGTTTTCTTTGCTTATTATTAGCAATAGTCTGTCGTGTTATATGCTGAGTAGAATAGCGATGTGATAGGTTAACTCTGAATGTTGGCCTTTAGGGAGTAAGATCATTAAGATTATCTGTCATTACTATAAATATAAGGATGTGGGGTGACACTTTTGGTAATAAATGCTGGTTAAGACTTAAAGAAAAACTGTCATTAAATGTAGAGGTTGATCTTTTGTAACATTGATCTTTTTTCATTTCATAAGCATTAATAAATCTTATGATTCAGATGATATCTATAAGATCACCATTGTTATTCAATTGGATTTTACCTTTCCCTTAATGTCACTCTCTCTCTGCTTTACTAGTTAAACCCAAGGATTTACTCACTCCTAACTGCCTTCATGGCTGCATCACACACTTTACAGACAGTTGCAGCTCATGTTCCCTTTGCGGATTTATGCTCAACTTTAGAACGAATACAGAAAAGTAAAGGTCGTGAAGAAAAAATCAGACACTTCAGGGAATTTTTGGATTCATGGAGAAAATTTCATGATGCCCTCCATAAGAACAAAAAAGATGTTACAGACTCTTTTTACCCAGCAATGAGACTTATTCTTCCTCAGCTAGAGAGAGAAAGAATGGCGTATGGAATCAAAGAAACAATGCTTGCTAAGCTTTATATTGAATTGCTTAATTTACCAAAAGATGGGAAAGATGCCCTCAAACTCCTGAATTACAGAACACCCACTGGAGCTCGGAGCGATGCTGGAGACTTTGCAATGATTGCGTACTTTGTACTAAAGCCAAGATGCTTACAGAAAGGAAGTTTGACTATACAGCAGGTAAATGAACTTTTGGACTCTGTTGCCAGTAGTAATTCTGACAAAAGGAAAGACTTAATAAAAAAGAGTCTGCTTCAGCTGATAACCCAGAGCTCAGCACTTGAGCAAAAGTGGCTCATCCGAATGATTATCAAGGACTTAAAGCTTGGTATTAGTCAGCAAACTATATTTTCGGTTTTCCATAATGATGCTGTTGAGTTGCACAATGTGACCACAGATCTGGAAAAAGTCTGTAGGCAACTGCATGATCCCTCAGTGGGGCTCAGTGATATTTCTATCACTTTGTTTTCTGCCTTTAAACCAATGCTAGCTGCCATTGCGGACATTGAACGCATTGAGAAGGACATGAAAAACCAGGGCTTCTACATTGAGACAAAGCTGGATGGAGAGCGTATGCAGATGCACAAAGATGGAGATGTGTACCAGTACTTCTCCCGAAATGGGTTTGACTACACTCAGCAGTTTGGTGCTTCTTCGAGGGAAGGTTCTCTTACCCCTTTCATTCATGGTGCATTCAGACCCGACATACAAGTCTGTATCCTTGATGGTGAAATGATGGCCTACAACCCCAACACACAGACGTTTATGCAGAAGGGAGTTAAGTTTGATATTAAAAGAATGGTAGAAGATTCTGACCTGCAAACTTGTTACTGTGTTTTTGATGTATTGATGGTTAATAATAAAAAGCTAGGACGTGAGACCCTAAGAAAGAGGTATGAGATTCTTAGCAGTACTTTTATACCAATACAAGGAAGAATAGAAATAGTACAGAAAAGACAGGCTCATACTAAGAATGAAGTAGTTGATGCATTGAATGAAGCAATAGATAAAAGAGAAGAGGGGATCATGATCAAACACCCTCTGTCTATTTATAAGCCAGACAAAAGAGGTGAAGGATGGTTGAAAATTAAACCGGAATATATCACAGGCCTAATGGATGAGTTGGACATCTTAATTGTGGGAGGCTACTGGGGAAAAGGTGCTCGGGGTGGAATGATGTCTCACTTTTTGTGCGCTGTGGCAGAGAAGCCCCCTCCTGGGGAGAAACCCTCCGTATTTCACAGCCTCTGTCGTATTGGCTCAGGGTACACCATGAAAGAACTGTATGATCTGGGTCTGAAATTGGCCAAACATTGGAAGCCTTTCTCAAAGAAAACCCCACCAAGTAGCATTTTATGTGGCACAGAGAAGCCAGAAGTATACATTGAACCGTGTAATTCTGTCATCGTTCAGGTTAAGGCAGCAGAGATTGTCCCCAGTGAAATGTATAAAACTGATTGCACACTGCGTTTTCCCCGAATTGAGAAGATAAGAGAGGACAAAGAGTGGCACGAATGCATGACGCTGGATGACTTAGAACAACTTAGAGGGAAAGCATCCGGAAAGCTCGCGTCGAAACACCTCTATGTAAATGAAAATGATGAACCTCGAGAAAAAAAGCGGAAAGCTGCCCCAAAGATGAAGAAGGTTATTGGCATTATCGAACACTTAAAAGCACCCAACCTATCTAATGTAAGCAAAGTTTCTAATGTATTTGAAGATGTTGAGTTTTGTGTTATGAGCGGAACAGACCAACATCCAAAGCCAGAGCTAGAGAGCAGAATTGCAGAACTGGGCGGTTACATAGTACAGAATCCAGGACCAGACACTTACTGCGTAATTGCAGGGTCTGAGAACATCAGGGTGAAGAACATTATTTCTTCAGATAAACATGATGTTGTCAAGCCTGTGTGGCTGTTGGAGTGTTTTAAGACCAAAAGCTGTGTCCCCTGGCAACCTCGCTTTATGATTCACATGTGTCCCTCAACAAAACAGCATTTTGCTCGTGAATACGATTGCTATGGTGATAGTTATTTTGTTGATACAGATTTGAATCAACTGCAGGAAGTGTTTTCAGGAATAAAGAATTCTAGTGAACAGACTCCAGAAGAAATGACATCTGTGATCGCTGATTTGGAATACCGTTACTCATGGGATGGCTCTCCTATTGCCATGTTTCGGCACCACACTGTTTATATGGACTTGTATGGGGTCATTAATGACTTGAATACCAAAATCAGGGGAACAAAATTAGCCATTACGGCCCTAGAACTTCAATTTTATGGGGCAAAAGTTGTTTCCTGTTTAGCTGAAGGGGTGTCTCTTGTGATTGTTGGACAGGACCAAAGTCGTGTTGGAAAATTTAAAGCTTTCAGAAGAACTTTTAAGAAAAAGTTTAAAATCTTAAAAGAAAGTTGGGTAACTGATTCATTAGACCAGGGTGAATTGCAAGAGGAAAATCTGTATTTGATTTAGAGCTGGCTTCTGAGGAAAGCTTTGGATCTGAGACTTTCCACAAGGGTGAATGCAAAGCATTAAGCAGTATTTCATTTTTGCCTTTGAAAATCATGACTTAAAAAGTGCTTTTACATATAAAGAAACATTAATTTCACCTTTTAAAACAGAAAAGGAACTGAATGACCCAAAGCCTAGAGATTCTCTTAGCAGTGTCAGTACTTAGGATTTTTATCCCAAAAAAATGACATAATTTAAAGAATCTAAACTTTTGACTCAGATATTTTAAAAATTCATTTAGAGGGTTTTAATGTCATTGAAAGTATTGAGTTAAGCAAACTTTTTACTCAATTAAAATTTTTGATAGATTTTTGGCTAATAAGAGTATTATACAAAAATGGGCATAAGACTTACAATTGGGCCTGCAACAATGTCTTTTTATTTGAAGATAAATACCTCCTGTGAATGGGAAATGTTGAAAACATTTATAAAATCAAAGACAAACACTAATAAATAATTCTTGGTCATATTTTATCTTAACTTGAATGAGACATAATAGTTTAAATACTTAAAACCCAACTGATTTTTAAAAATTAGATCACATTTAATTCTTTTCCTAAAATAGGATATCTTGGAGTGTTTTATGTGAATTTATACTGCATTATGAATAGTACTCAGAGTGATTTTCCTTGATACAATCCATTGAGTGGGTGTCATAGTGACATAATCTTACTGGCTTTTATGAATAGGCTACTTAATGTCGATGTGTACAATGTATAGTGCATCTTGATTTGTGGATTTGTGAATCAAACTTGAGATGCAGCATATGTTGAAAATGTGCTTTCATGCTAGCCCTCAAAGAGGGGAATTTGGTATCCGAGGTGCTTACTGTACATAGATTGTTTGCAAGTAATTTGCAGTTTTATTGGAATAATAGAAAGATGTTTGCTATATTTAAATAAAATATTTAATATATTATTAAAGTAACCTATGCTTATGTTTGCCTTATTTTATAACATTGACTTCATTCGATCATGGTGTTAATGCACATTTGAACTCAAATATTTGCTTGTTAGTCTGGTGTTCTACCAACTGAACATGTTTGGCTCTGATTATTTTTGAGATAGGATCTCATCTTTATTCTAGAGCTGGCCTTAACCACAATCTTTATATTTATGCTGAATTATATATTTAGCTGAATTAACAGAGGGAACCACCATACCCAACTTTTTACTGGTTGAGAAGAGTTTTCACATACTGCCCAGGCTAGCCTTGAACTGCCATCCTCCTAGGTCTAGGATTACAGGTCTGGACCCCCATATCCAGCTTGTAGGTCTGTTTTTAATTGGCCTAAATCAAATACCTTTTGAGGTCCTTGCATTTCACATTACCAAATGAGCTTTAGTAAGACTTTCAGTTTGTATATTTTTGTCCTTATTGGGAAAACTACAATATACAAATGAGTATGATGGATGAAAAACCCATAATTTTACCTCAAAGATAATAGTACTGTCATTTTAAGTTGCCTGTAGTAAGTGCAAAACCACCATTCAGAGTAACAGATGGTCATAAAGTTAGCCAGTATTACTTATTTTAATTATTTTTCAATAAGTGGCCAGAATATTTATAGGTTACTAAGTGCATCATCACCCCATATGCTGTTGAATTACTATAACATGCCTTGTTAACCCATTACTGTTCAACTTGTAGGTTACATCGCCATACTATACCCACTTTTCCTATGAACCAGTGTGACAAATCTTTTCTGTAGTCTATGTACACAAGTCCTCTTATTTCTTAAAAGAAATAACTACTTGTTCAAAGTTATCCTTTTTTTTCAGTTACCTTCATACACACTGAAAAACCTTTTAAAAATGGCTTTCTTGATTTCTCTTGTCTCCCTCATGTTTGCAGTTAAGTTGCTTATTGATAGGTCCACTTGTAAAATTTATTAAAGAAAATACATATAAAAGGAGAGATGAAACTATGCTTCATCCAGTTTGAACAGTTATCGGTGATCCATCTTTCCTGATTTTTTCTCTATATTATTTTAAAGTGGTCCTGTATTGTCATCTGCACACTTTAGATAACAGAATTGAATCATATGCTCTTCTACTCTTCTTACTATGTAATGTAAGCTTTTCAAGCAAACAATCCTAATTGTCCTTACCTTATCCTATATTCTCACCTCTATCGCATAGTCATTTACATTAGAGCTTCATTCAGTATGTGGCCTTTTGCCACCTGTGACAACTCTCATGTGCCACTTACTCCATTGTTGAAGACTGACTTAAATGGCCTTCCTTGTGTTCTTACTGTACTGTGTTTCCTTCTCTAGAAGAACAGAACTTTACTTTCAAAGATGCCAGTGAAGTTGTGTTGCTCTCCTGGAGTTAGGAAATTCTTCCCTAACTGAGATGGCTGAGACAGATGGCTTGGGTGTTGACTAAAAGCTATCAAATCCTGCCCCACCAATAGTAATAGAACAAATTGTGAAATACAGCAGGAACTTAATGACCTGCAATCTTCATAGCCCATGGGAAATGACAGCCCTGGTGGGACCAAAAAAGCACAAACCCCCAGCCCCACATTTCAGAAGGGAAGAGTTGATGACTTTAGAGGTTACTGACATAACAATTTTCTTTTTTCTTCTTTTCTTTCTTTCTTTTTCTTGGTTAGTCATGGGGCTTGAACTCATGCCCTGGGCTCTGTCCCTGAGCTTTTGTGCTCAAGGCTAGTGCTCTACCATTTTGAGCCATGGCTCCACTTGCAGTTTTTTGGTGGTTAATTGGAGAAGAGAGTCTCATGGACTTTCCTGCCCAGGCTGGCTTCAAACTAGGATCCTCAGATCTCAGCCTCCTGAGACTCTAGGATGACAGGTGTGAGCCACCAGCACTTACCTATAACCCAGTTTTCTTAGGAACAACTATGTCTGCAGACTCAATGAAGTGTGAGGGTTTGGGGACCCCCAGGGTAGTTCTTTTTTTGAGTCTGCCCACACTTTTGCTTTGTATTAATAAACCAGCTCTTGCCTAAGTCTATACTTGAATTGTTTCTTACGTGAGACCTAGAACTTTCTGGCTTTTGGATGCAGTGGCCTGAATCCAGGGACAGAACAACAGCTACATTGCCTTAGTAACTTCTGCAGCCTGAGACGTGACTGTACATTGCCCAGTACTCTGACTTGCTATGTTACTAATGGTTCTTTTCTCTGGTTGTCCTTTGACTTAGTCAGGCCACAGACAGATGCCAGGCAAGGTGGGGATGGAGGTCATAGTTATGTAAAATGTTTTTGTCTATGATTCACCACAACAGTAACATCAGGCCTCAACGTAACAAGTGGCACATTGTTAGCTGGCCATTCTGGCATCCACTTACACTCAGCAGCACCAGCTTCATTCTGTCCAAGGTTCATGTTCTGACCCACAGCAGCTGCTCACTGTCCAACAGTGATCCCATTGCTTTCTATCCCTCACTGGTACCTGCTAGACAAAGTGGTATTTGGCCAAGGATGGCCAGACAAGGCCCAGTCTCAAGGCTACAAGCTACTTAAGATAGCGCATGCGTAAATGACTAGGTTGCATGGATGTGCTGAGCCAGCTGTGTCCCAGTCATTGGGATGTGCAGGCCTAAAGCTTTCCAAGAGAAGCTTGGCTGGCTCCATTTACCCTACACTGTCCTTCCTGTTATCTCTCCAGCCCTGCTCAAGCACCACACCTACACCACCAGCACTTACTATCCTTTTACTCTGCCTTTTTTTTTCCCCTGAAGCACTATTTCCTCCATGAGAATGGAAGCTCAAAGCAAGCAGACACCTTGTCTGTGCTGTCACGATCAGTCATGACTATGCAGGAATAATACGCCATAGCAACCTGCTCTTATTTGCCCAGGCCATGGGTTCTTGCTAGAAAATGGGGCAACAGCTTTACGAAGAGCTCTACCCTGTCCTGCATCCCTGACGACTTTAAACTGTAATGAGAAACCCCATTGATTTCTTCAGACTGAGAATAGTTTCTTGGAAAGTCAGACAGTTTGAGTAGCTGCTTCACACTTAGGCTTTGTCTCGGGTCTAGGTGAAGAGGGCTCCTATGAAACTTTAGGTTCCTTACTTTGGGGAGAGTAGTTTAACTTAACAGTGTAATATACAGTTAGGAATATATCAATAGCAATCAATGGGCAGACTGGGCAGATTTTGGTTTGTTTTGTTTTTTTTGAACAGGGTGTTATTGTGTGTACATCTGCCCAACCACAATCTCATCATTCTCCTACCACTGACTCCTGAGTGCTGAGATTACATACAGATTGTGTTATCTATCCTGGTTTATAGTAAATATTTTTTAACTTGGATCCTATGCTCTCTGGCTCCCCATGTTTCCTGTAGAAATCCCTTAATTTGGAAATAGGCAGATCTGAGGTTTCCTTCCTTTTGATCAACTATGAGAGAGGGATAGAATGTTGCTCATGATTACATTAGAAATCCCTCATGACCAGACATACCCAGTCTCTCTTTTTCTCTCTCTTTTTTTGTCTCCTCTTCCCGCCACTCTCCCCCCATCCTCTCTTCACCTCATTCTCCTCTCACCCTGTTGTTACCATTTGGATCTTGACTGAAGAACTGTGCACTAAGGACTTGATTGATAGTGGTACTACTAGGAGGTGTGGACCTTTAAAATAGGACCTATTGAGACATCTCTAGGTCTGTGGGAACATGTTTTTAAAGAGGATTATTGGCTCCCTCTCTCCTTAGCTCATGGTATAGGACAGTGTTCTCTACCACTCCTACTCCAATGTGCTGACTTAACCACAATCCATAGCCATCGAGCTAACCAATCATGGCCTAGAGCCTCCAAAATGTGATCCAAAATAAACCTTTTCCTCTTTGCAAGTTGTTTATCTCAGGCATTTGTTATAGTCATGGAAATCTGGCAGACACACTGATTTGGGGAGCTGTCATGGGTCCCATAGCTGTAAGCCAAAAGCTTAAGAACAGGGAGATGCAAGCTGTCTCAGTTGAGCTACCAGATGCAGACAGACACATCATGTACACCTCAACACGCGCTCTGATCTTGAAACCTTTAATGGCTGAATAAGGTTATGTTTGCCAAGGTAGACAGCAGTCTGTAACACATAAGAGACATTAAATAAGGCCTCCTTTTTTTTTTCCCTTCTGTATTTGCTAAGGCCTAAGGGAATAAAATCCAAAACAGGTAACTTAAAATCCAAAGAGGTAATTTAAAACTGGTCTTGCTGGGCCCATGAATCAACTGAAAGGGTAAAGGGCAGACATCTTAGATCTCCTTGCTTTGCAACTGTGTCTATGACGAGCCATTCCATCCTGCAGTCACTTTGCAATCAATCCCCTTGGACTGCAGGGAGGATAGGATCTACCACCCATAGGCATCTGTGACAAAAGGACAAGAAATGCCATCTTTTTATAATCTTGTGGCAAAAGGCAAAATTACCCCAGTGAGAACAACTAACACTACATACTACCTGCCAGCCAACAATGACTGACTAGTTCTAGTTCTCCTAAAGTGTAGGCATGCCAACTTACTCTAGAGCCTATCCAGAGATACAGGTTGAAAGACTGTAATGGTCCACCTGGCTGCACTTGTGATGTGAGACTTTTAACCACCTCAGCTCACCCCAATTCCCTGGTAGTTCTTCCTTTATGACCTAAGGTGAATGTGCACATTCCTGGAGGCAACCAAAGTTGTACCTAAGTGCTCTTAAAATTGGCACATAACAAGTCCCTTTCTCTGTCCTTTACCATGTCTCTTCATTTGGCATATGGGGATGAGTGGACAGAACTTCTGGGATTGAAAACATGGTTTTAATACTAATTCATTTGAAAATGATCTTGAACTAATTTTTCCTTCTAACTTCTTGGTGCTTAGCAAGTCTACCCAACTGATTTCCTCCATACACCTCACCCTTTCAAATTCCCTTAGTTTCCTGTTCTTTATACCTAGGCTACCTTTCATTAG